GTCATCGCATGGCGTTTCTAATTCACTGTCTTACATTCCTCCTCCAAATCTACCTTCTACGTATTTCAGATTAGCAGATTTTTTGGAGTGCCTTGCTAAGTGCAACTTCCAGATCAGTCATCCGTTAACAACCTTTTACTCTCTCATCCATTTTACTTTACGGCCTTCACAAATGGACGCACCCATCGTGCAACTGTGATTCATAAATAGCAGCAATGCTCTCATAGGATTGGAAAAGAGACCTGATGACCAGGGGCCTAAAAGGATAATTCGGGTCAGCTTTAGTAGGAGTTGGAGTTCGAGAGAGGTTATGCTGTTAGACATCAGTACTACTGGGGCATGGAAACATGTACTCCTATCGTACGGTTCGTACTGTCGACTTTTGGTTGTCTCCGAATTGGTTAGCATTTAAAACCACGTACAATAATGAAGTCGAACTTTAATTTTTTCAATCACATTAGGGCGTATGAGGCGTTAAATTAGAGAATTTTTGGTGGTGGATGGGAGTTTTAGGGTCTAGTAGCTCTGATTCGCTTTTGGCATGACTTTGACAAGCAAATTAGATTTGGCCAGAAAAATGCCGGACCCTAAATAAGGTTTTCTTATATCCTTAGACGCTAATTAATCTCTTTACTTTTAACTTTGTTGATAAGACACCAATTTTAAGTTGAAGTGCAAGTGCAGCAGTTGGATTTGCCAAAGGCTCTAATCTATTCGATTAAGGTGACACTTTCAACGGTTGACTTCCCTCGTCCAAGAGACAGTCGGAAATTTGAAGTTAACCTGCGACTGACTCATCGAAATGGCAATAAAATCCACCCTAAGACGAGAGTCCCTCTTGGAGGCCAGGAGATCACCAGCACCTGAATTAGCTACGAGTTTTCTTGGCGAGGCACTTGTGGAATCCACATAAAAATGCGGATAGATTAGAAAGCCATGTCCAGGCAGTAGTGTTTAAAGAATGGGGTTGAGTGATGTAACGGGAAACTATCCACTTTCAGCATATTTATAAGGATACAGTTGTGTGTTATTTATGCCACTAGCAGATTTAATCCGGAGAAACTCTGATTGCTCAGGAGTAATCTGGATAACAGCAAAATGCGATTTGATCGTAGACTTTGTGTTTATGCATCGTAGGGAAAGTAGTAACGCCTTTATTCTATGGATCCTATAAGATGGCAGCATTCAGCCGACTAGGCTGTTTGATAGGGGCTATTCAATACGTATCTAAGAGCTGTGGAATTATAGCTACATTGCTGAATTGAACAGGTAAAACTGACAGTCTTATGCTAAGTTAAAATTTGATGCTCGCGCTCGTTACCATTTCCTAGGGCAATAAACGTACGCATCGGACGTTAATAAACTCCGGTCATCGTTGTCATGCCGCCATTCCGGGGCTGCATGCATAGTTGCCTTCTCATCACGTTTATGCACATCGAAGGCTGACAACCATCTGGCCAATAAGAGGCGACCTCACTACGCATTGGCCGTTGCTTCGTGCATTCATTGGTTTCGCGCATGAGCGGACATAGAGTTTGAACCAATGATAAACGAAGATGGTGTTTAAAAGCATCCTTTTATGCCCTATTTCCACAGTTATCAAGTGTAATCTACGTTCGATTCGCGAGTGTCGTGAGCCTGTGACGGGAGTTTTGGAATGATAAAGGCTTGATCTGTGTAAAAGCATCTCGGTATCAATACGTCACCAATCTTCCTCCTGACTTACAACTCACACACGATGATGGCCTCTTTTAGAGGAACGCTACTGGTGGTTCTCGCATTTTTGGGATTGCTTACTAGTAGCGCAGCAGATATCACTGACATGATCGGTGAAGCTATCTGTGCCGCTCAGTGCCTGACTAACTTCACTTTATCCGTAAGTTAAGGTCTTGTTATTTATATTATTTATGCTTTATTACCCAGTTTCCTTTTTCAATGCAGTTTGCGGAACTCGCAGTTTAAATGGTTAAGTGTACAAATAGGCAATTCAATAAAAATTTACTTCGCAGATCTTCACAATCTCATACATATATGGTTACTCGAGTATGCTGCTGTACTATTAATCGAACGCCGGTTCATAATGATCACATATGAAGCGAACAAGCTGATTTCGATTTACGTTATTTCGTCTTGCAAGTAATTTTCAGACTTTCGTAATGTAAATCAATCCATCATTGAATACCGACAAGACTTGCTTCTGAGAGCAGTTAATTCATAAATGCGGATTTAAGTACCCTTGACTCCATAAGCACATGCGTTTTGGGAAGACATTTCCTTCATCGGGAGCTCACTTCATCATGGTGCAACCATGATGCAAAAACAAAATTATCGCTTTAAGGCAATTTGTCAGTTGCGAATCCTGATACGATTTGCTTCTTCGCCCAGCAAAGTCATTTAGTTGCTTTATTTGCGCGAATTCATCAATACATTTCCTTCTTGCGTTTTATATTTTCCTCGTTCTGACATCGTTCACCGCTTACTCAAAATACCTTAGCAGTTAGCATATTTTCATACAGGTTCTTGTAACATTGTATCTATGGGATTCACCTTATCCACAAGAATTTGTACCTAGTGAATGCCTCCACGGCGTTTTAGCACTATTTATAGGTAAGTCTTACTCGTATAGCCGAATCTATGGTGAGAGACAAAAACTTGAGTTCACTTAAGTCGTTTCATGTGCAACACTTGACCTGAACTCTCAGTCTTTTGTTACACTTTCACATTTTGTCATCCCTGCGGTTCCGTTGCTAACTGGGCTACCTCAAATTCGCACAACATTATGCAGCAAGTGGACCCACCCCAAACAGTTTTATAACCGTGGGGAAATCGAGTGGCAGAGAGTGATTTTTGGGATCGTAGTTCTGCGCATTTCCGTGCGTCACTTCAAAGACCCCACAAAGCTATGCCAGCGACGGCAGACGAGCCGGCAGAAAATGCCATAATTCACAGATGAATGTCATTTGAATGAGCGTCACAGGATGCGAATGAGAAGAGGCTGAATTCTTGCCTCGAATACGAGGTAGGATGAACGAGCTAGCAGTTGGGAAGTGAAGAATCACAGTGGATGGTAGATAAAATATATAACTGAGCTTGAACAGTCAATAAAAGGAAACGCAACTTCAGGGAAAGGGAGTTAGACGGTATATTAGCTACCCTGAAAAGTAAAATATGCAAGATACTGAAGTATTCTCCACCTCTTTCGACTTATCTGCGCTAACTTGGATTGCCACAATACTTTGGTAAAGTCTTTGTGTTTAAACGGTTGGTTATTTATTTTTCATCAAAAGTAAAATAAAGTTTAGCACAAACTAGAGGATTGTTAATGCACTTCCGCATTAACTTTGGAGGACTTGCAGATAGTTAACGTAAATGTGCTATCGCAAAGCAAAGTTGGCACTGTACCAACTGTTCCACCATAGCAGTGGCCTCCGTAGCCGTAGCCTCCTCATACGGTAGAACAATACGAAACTTCGTGAAACCAAGAATGCTAGGTACGCTAGTAAGGTCACAATACCGAAGTTCGGTAACTGGTCACAAGTAATTTGAGTGATGCGTAAGTAGAGTTTCGTCGCCATCTAACTATGAGCTTGTATCAAATTTTACCAACTTTTACCCTCCATATGAGCACATTTTTGATAGTTGGCAACGCAGTAGAAGGCTAAGTCTTGATATGACCTGACCGGCAACTTCTCTCTGATCACCGCAACATGCAGAGAAATTCTAACCAAGAGAACGTTTGTAAGGTAATTACGTGTTAACCTGACAACAGCGGACTGAGGTAAGCTTCATTGCCTCAACGCGTCTTCTTAACTCGTAGTCGAATTGACTTCGTTACGGTTTCAAATGGGCAGTACAATTGGCTTGAGCTCGCATTTACATAATGAAGTGAAAAAATGCTATGTTGCCTGACTCTTGATGCATTTCTATAATGTATTCAAGCCGAGTTGAGAGTGCACTTTCTCTCCATATTTAACGCGCATAATGCTGATTTACTTCTTGACCATAACAGCGTTAAGCGGTAGCCGGTCCCAATTGCACACTGCTAATTCAGCATCTCATCATTTTACCATGGAGGTCGTCAAATTTAAAGCTCCTCTTACTACTTTCATGGAAACAACATTGGTGTATACTATTTAACTTGTTTTGTGCTGTTGAAACGGTCATTTTCTGCAGGCATAACATGTCTTAACTAATGAAGAGGTTTTTAACACAAACAATCTGCCTTAAATTTTTAACTCTTTGACAAACGATAGAGAGTTGTATGTAATTTTAGATATTTATTAGCCTTTTGAACATGAATGTAGGGTTTTGGAAGTTTATATTATCCTTGCTCCAAAAGCTGGTTGTCTGGTGGATAAAATAAAAGTCTCAAGTCCAAGTCAAGGGACTAGGGATACGATGTGGTATTTGCATTTAATAGGGCTTGACGACCTCTTCATGGTTGTGACGTATGCTGAAATAAAACATTCGCTTCCGCAACTACTGCATCCACAACGGCAAATTTCATCTTTTACAGCGGAGGATAATTTTGAAAGACGGTGCAATGGATTTTGATAATTTTATCAGCATTACTGAAATAGGCGTCTGATCCCTGCAGACCATTAGTAGTTTAAGTCATTTTGATGTTAATTATTTCACGGAATAATGGAATAATGGCAGTTACCTCCCTTAATGCATTGCATTGTTATTAGTTGATACAGATTAGGCTGGAACTTGGGATATTTGTGAATGATGGGGTGTGGTATCGCTTTACGAGGCACATCATTTGTGCCTGTTCAGATGCTTCAATTGAGACGATCAGAGACTTTCATCCAGCTGATACAATGCGCCGTTAGTCGACCAGATTACATAGCTTTAAGCCTGCCCTCTTAAATTGATAGTTGTAATGAGCCTGTGCTAAGTCTGGCTTTTAATTTTGAATTACAACAAGTGACATGAGAAGACATTATTCCAGGATCCCTTCAATGCATAGAGGGAATAATGGAAAACATAGATTGAACTCACTAGAACCAGAGGATTGTATGCACTTTCTATAAAACGCAATATAAAGTCACTGTAGCTTTAGTTCGTATAATCGACAAAGTGGGGCGCCTTATGGTGGTCCACGCCCAACTGACATCATTGGGAGGTGTACTCTTTTTTTTCAGCTGGATATACCCGAACGGAACTTTCTAAGTCAGCGTCCAGACCTTACCGAGCCTCATTGCCTAAGCAAGCGCTCAAACTGCAGTCTAGTAAGTCTTCAACATAGATAACCACTCAGTGGGTGAAGAGGCTTCATTTTTTAACCATACACTCAACTAAAGCTGTTCTTTGCATTCCCCTTGTGATGGCGGTGGTGTTTTTGTGTCTGAGGCAGAATTGAGGTTGCATAAATAAAGGCTGCAAACGAGGTCTAGTGGTTTATATGTCTTGCCGAGATTCACATTTAGGAGTCGGTGGAACTCGCACGGTTGCACTCGTGCCTCCTAGTCGATGATTCAACCCGTCTGCTGTGTGCATGCCCACGTAAATGCAGGCATACAACATTCCTCTCTTGGGGACTCGACCCCTCCTCTGTTAGTCCAGAACTTTTTTCATCTTCTTCAGTGCCTCGAAGTTTGCCGATGGCCCCGACAAAATATCTCAGCGTGTGAATCGTCTTGCAAACAGCTTGAAGTAAGTGCCCCATCCCCTTAATTTCATAATTTCACCACGTTGGCACTATTTGTTGTTGGGAGCCTAATATCTTCCCAATAAATGAATTCTTCATTCGTCCGGATGATTCATTTCTTTTAACATTTGACTCATGTTTGCTGCTGTACCTCAAAATGAGATGTGGTAATCATATTCATCGGGTTGCTTTGACACTTATTTTTCTGAAGAAAGAATGAGACTGATGAAATCCAACTGGTTAAATTTAGTGGGCACCTGGAAGCTATCTTCCATTCAGTCAGCAGGAAGGGAATCAGGTATTCATTGATGTCTTCAAGCTTTTCACCGCTGTGACATAGATTTCTTTGCCTTACAACTCCCAGCCTTGGAACTTAAGTTTTTTTAAAAGAATAACAAGTTTAGTCCTTTTATGAGTTTATTATTGTTAAAATGGACGTGTCTCACTGTAACTTCCCATTTGAGTGATTTTATAACTGTAGTTATATTGGAGCCTTTCCTTTTTACTTCTCAGGAGAGTGAATTACAAATGTTGCCCAACAGTCCACTTGAGGTACACCGCAGAACGTGTCTGGAGGCCTGTGCATTTTCGCACACCAACCAGAGGGAGAGAGCAGCAGTTGTGACCGGCCAGCTGCCAGCCTCTTGTCCTCTGCCCTCAAGTTGGCCCGACGGCTCGACGTGTCAGCCGCATCAGAGTTGCACCACCGACGCAGACTGCGGCCATGGCTCACTTTCCAAGTGCTGCCGTTTCGATGCCTGCCTCGTTGAGCACCAACCCCTCCCACCATCCCCCTCCATACTCTACCGCTTGGCTCGTGGTGGTGGACCATCCAATCTCCACCGACCTCTTCCTCCCACCGGGTTTTGTATGCGCATTTCTAACGACACCGCCTTCGCTCACAGAGGTGAGCAGCACTGGATAAATTTAGAAATCTGCTCACCATGGTCTTCCTCTCTTGTAGAGAAACACTGCTCTAAGGAACTGTGCAGAACTACTTTTTAGTACTCTTGTGAGCAATCACTCCACACATTGGCTTGTCCAAAGATGGCGTTATGCATGTATTTGATGTCGCTTTTATTACGTCGCTTTTGATCGAATAAATATTTGCCTTTACATTTGTTAAATGTGACATCCTTGTCAAAAATTATTTTTTGTTCTAATTTTAACATGCGAGGGTTCTTATCCAACCCAAGGAATGGTCCAATACCGTTCCGTACTCCTGTGACACTAAAACTAGGTAAAATTTGGATATGTTGGAAACCATGTTTGTCTTAAACGATTTTTTAATGAACAGATTCATAAGCAAATTTGGATAGAACGTAGGTAGTCTTGTCTTGAAAGTTCGGTGTTTCGATGCAAAACACACCAGTGTAATATTTACCTTTTCTGACGCGGCGGATCATCAAATCGGTGTCCCACAAGCCTTTAGGAAGTGGGACAGTGTTAGGTTCCTTCGTTACCACTTCAAGAAGCCCTTTACAACCTTTAAAATCTTTTAGGCGTACCCCCAGTACCCGGTCGACCATCAGTGCGCCAAACAGCTATGACTCTGGGTGAACAGGATGTCTACAAGCTGGAATTGGATTGGCCCGAATATTATAACCTCAGCAGACGCTCTGATGCACCAGAATGGATTTATCCCGCCGTATTCCTCGTTCAAGTCCGTCTCTTTCGTGACCTAGGAGACCCATTATTTGGGGATCAGAATGAATTTGGAGACGAAATATTTCAGGAAGAACTCTTTAGTGAGTGGCGAAGTCTCGTTTGGGTAAGAAATAGGCGCAATGTCTTCTGCAGTTTGTGAGAATTTGTTTGAAATTGCATTCCAAGATGTTTCTTTTGAAAGCCTCAACATCGGCAAAGGATTGTTCGTAGCCCAACTAAATAAATAACTTGAAGTGCTAACTCGTTAGTTGTGCTTTAAGAAACCGACTATAAAACTATGAGTTCAATGTGCCTTAGTAACTAGGGTAATTTCCCACGGGTTTACAGGCCTCGACTTATCATTGCGGCCATAGAGACCGACGAGCTCAAATCCGTAACCGAACCATCCCCTTGAAGTGAATTTGATCCCTCCCCAATAACAGTACGTGATTGGAGTAGTCTTGCATGTTTCCAGCCTGATAAGGACAAGTTGGTACACAGTCCAGCTACCAAGAGTGTCGGACTAAAAATGTGATGTTTTTTGACTTCCATCAATATTTGCGGTGGCAGTGGCAACCATAAATCAACTCGTGTCAGCCGCACGCACACATGTTTATTCACTCTTTGTCATGCATCCACATGCCCACTTTGCATTGGAGGAGTGGCAGCGACAGTCCATGGGAATTTCACAGGGAAGATCACTCACCCGTCTATCCCTCATCTTGTTTTCTGATGTTCCGGAATAATCTTTGTCTACTCACCAAATACACTTACTTTTCTCATTCCTTCTACTCTACAGGCTAGATCCATTAATTTAATAAGACGTTCTATTTGCGTTCATATAATGCGCTAAATGCATTTGCAAAAGCCACTCATTGCGTGATTTTTGTTACGACATTCAAAGACAACAAAAGTTGGTGCCGTTCTCTCGGATCTCAGTCCAGGAACCTGGTACCAATTTCGGCTAAAAGCTGCCTCAGGAGCAGGGTTTGGTGGCAATGGTCGTCCCAGTCGGCCTGTCAAGGTGGTGGCGCTACCTGAGGCTCCTCGTAATCTTACAGAGAGCAACTTGCGCATCTACTCAAACAAAATCGAGGTCAAACTTCGATGGGAGCCACCTGCTCCCGGAAGTGTCCCTGTCAAATTTTATAGGGTGAGCTCTAACAGGTCTGAAATGCGAATGCGTACTTCATTTCGTTTTCGTATTAAGAATCCCATTTGCCAATTGCATCTACGTTTTCGTTGTTCTTTTGAATATCTTGACTGGTTTCCTCAAGTTTACTTTAAGTGATGGAGGCAAATCACTCTGTTTCTTGCAGGTAAGTTGGAAGAAGCACATTCCCATGCACATAGAGGACAATTCATTGGGGGAGTACGAAGCAAAGGTGCCCAAGAAGGTCCTCGCTTATACCTTGCAAGACCTAGAGCCAGGCACCGTCTACATGGTGCAAGTAACCTCAGTTGCCGTCGTCGATGGAAAGGAGTGGTCCAGTCCTCCAGTGAAGCACTTCATTAAGACCGTACCAATTCCCTCCAAAGAATATTCCCTAAGTGGTAAGCGTTGCGTCTTTGACTGCATAGCGCGTCCCATATGCTGACTTCGGGCAGCAATCAAGGTTTTACATCACATGTTCGGAATTTTGTATCCTTGACTCCATTGATTTCTCGCGTTAAGGTGTTCTTTCTTGGTGTTTCCGTAGTTACAAACAATTATTACCACACGGAGGCAGGTAGATGTAGGTGTGGTGATTCTCCCGAAAATCGAAATTTTGTCCAACCTGCGTTCTTTGAAGGCGGAATCCTAAAAGTCCATGTCACCATACCTCGACACTTCCGTAAGTTTAGTAGTTAAATGCAATCCTCTTAGATTGAACAAAGATTGGCTTTGAAATCCAATTGCATCAAGTTGTTTATCATAGATTACCATCTTTCACAACCTACTCCACTTGATGTTTAGTGAAAAGGGTTTTATTGGGTTTAATTTTCCAATAAGTTGCTTTTACTAGGGCTAATTCATGCATACACGGTAAAGGAATGATAGGTTCGGTGCTTCGTACTCATGTCGAAGTTGAGTGTTCGTTTATCCTATCATAGTGACGCATTACTTTGGACCAAGTGTCAAAGATGCCACGATCTTCCGCCTTCTTTGGAGTCCACACGTTTGTATTGAAACGCCGAATTCTGAAGTTGGTCTCACCAACACCCCAGCTGTAATGAATGTATATGTGAGTGTTGTCTTGGTGACCGTCCTCTCCTTCCATCTTCCACCCCTTGTACTCAACTGTTTTGTCTAGCAAAATTTTAAAACGTTTAATCTTTTTTGCTAAGGCGGCAGACCTTTCAGGTATGGATCTTGAAAATCTGCGATTTCAATGTCATTATAAACTGCAAATACGAATGGCTGAGGAGTCGGTAAAAATGACATCGAAGAACTCTTTGGAATTGTGTTTTTGTACACCTTCCTGCACAGAGGTTGTTGTCAGATCTGGTCCTGGACCGAGGAACTGCTCTTTTGCAGGTAAATTAATAATTTTTTGTCACCATCCAACAAATCATAAAAATTGAGCGAATTCGGTTATGTTAAAGACCTTAAGTAATAACTATATATTTATAAACCAAATTTTCATTCCAAAAATCAATGAAACGTTAAATTTGGAGGCTCACGTTAGGCCTTTGGTCTGATTATTTACATAGCTCACTAATTCTAGATATTCTTGTCCCTCATCGGCCGGTGGACGTTGGCTATCGCTTGTTTCCCACTGAAGCAAATCAGCGACATCCCATAATCTCGGGAGGAGCAGCTATCTCCTCGCAGTCAGAGATGGGGCCAATATTTCCCGTTCGCAACGCCTTTAAGACAGGTTCTGGTCAGTCTGTCGGTTTCGACGCTATCATTTTTTGGAAACCACACCCTGACATGGCACTAGAGACAGAGGACGTCGAGCGGTCCACAAATTACGTCAATCCCATGGCACTCCCTTTCTCTGAGATTCGACGGCAATCGCGTGGCTACCGAGTGATCTGGGGACCCCGTCTTGTCGAGCCCATCGAACCGGACATGTACAGTAATGGCATTGCTCCACAGCTGGACCCTGAACGGACTGAATCCAAAGTTGTCGACTCAGTATGCTAAGGGGTTATTTGAATTTGAACCCTACAATCTTTAATTTTGTGCCGTTTGAATTGTCATTGTCTATGATGTGGACTCTCGTGCATACCTTTAGCATTATAAAGCCGTAAACAAAATTCTAACGCCTTATGCTTCTATTCCCTTAGAAAGTGCACAATGTGATATTAAGAAATTTGGAACCAGACACACTGTACATAGTCCAGGTTCAAACAATCGGTGCCCATGGTGACAGTCCTGTGAATGCAGTCTTCTTTACCACCCCAAGTAGGTCATTTTTGCCTTAGTCTGACTGATTTGTATGCGTTTAATTGCCTTATGTAATGTTGTAAATATAAGTTCAAATTTACACTCACCTCTGACAAAATGATCACTGTAAAACATCTGATCCTAATTAACTTTTGTATCTGATGAATTCCCACCAATTTTGCCAAAGTGTTCACGTCAGAACATAAAATTTAAACTCGTCGCACTTTGAAAGAGAAGGCCAGATCGGAATAATCTTGTGGGACCTATTTGTCAATTTTCAGTCTGTCTTGTCTATCGTTTCATCGCCAACTACTTCTAACCGTTGTAACAGTCGATAACTCCAAAGTTTCCCTTATTGAAAGCGAAACTGCGAAGCCTATGAGTATAAAGCTCTTAGTCAGAACCACTAGTCATGCCACGAAGCTGACGCTCGTCTTCTAAGAACAAAATTTATTTAACTTCTACTTAGTTAGTTTTAATTGGGCCTTACCTGGTGCCTTTTGGTTGGCATGCCCTCTAGCTGAAAAGGTGGGTATGACTAATAATAAAGGGGCTTAAAGGAGGCAGTGGCGGCGGAGGAGGAAAGAAAGAAGATATTAGATGAGGTGGGCTGTGCCAGTCGAATGTGGTGGCGGAGTACCAATGCTGGCGGAGAGCGGCCTCTATTACCTCTTACCAAGTTGTAATTAACTCGCGCTCTCTCTAATCCAAATCTAAGCGAGACTGTTAATCATTGGCTAATGAGGCTTGATGTTTGGCGCAGCCAAATTAAAATCTTCCCTTCTCTCATTTAAATTCTTGTCATTTCCACCTTGCTTGCATTGTTTAGTCTTAAAATTTTGGCTTCTTAAAGCTCATCGCAAAATTTCCATGTCCCATCGTACCGGCTTAAGATGTTTTCAGGTGGGAATTGTGAACTTTCTATTTTAGTGTGTGTTAAATTGAGGCCTTTAAATGAGGAATTTCGGAACGAAGACAGTTGAAATGATTGCCTGTTCATTTGAGATGCTCACATGAATTATTCCCTTAAAGTCGTCTAACTTGAAAGTACGTTAATGTACCATTCGATCTATTGATGGTAAATGATCAACTTCACGGAGAGTCATCCCAACTCAACTCCTTGCTCATTACTTACATATCTGCTTATGTCCTTGCAATCCACCGGTTTGGTGTGAGTGCTTTTGTTGCTTGGATAATGCAATCTGAAAGTTATGATAATTCTGGCATTAATTGGAGTTGACAGCCTACCTTAGACATATGTTAAAGATTAGTTCCTACTTTAAGCGGCGTCTTTGTTACGTTTCCTGAGATTTCGGTGTGATGACTTAACGAGAACGTATTATTTTTAATAATTTAGACCTGTGGAAACAAGGTGATACCGACGCATCCAGCGTTTTACGAAGCAGTTGGGTTGCTCGTACTTCTTTGACATCGCTGTGCTTATTTCTCTGTTGTGTTTTGCCTCGGTAATTCGTCGGATTGCTACAGCAAACATGCATTCAGTCTTTCCATGCTCAGCCCTCTCGACAACCCATCTTGGTCTTGTAAGAATACCACCAGATTTGGCGAAATTCCACTCTGATCTCCATTTTGGCTTGTAAGAGACAAAGTGCCTTTTCTATTGACCTTGGTTTACTGTATATAAAGTACTAACAGCACACATTGCTTCTCCTGATGTATGTCTGAATGAAGAGGTATCGTTTAATCTAAACATGCTCTTTTGCACATGTTCGCACCTCTTATGACTTATTCCGGCATCTACTATCATTTTCGCTGTGTTTCCTGATTTTTTTTTAAAAATGGCCATAAAATTTCTTTTTGGTTCACCAGCGAATACGGATGTTTGTCGGCCGTAGTTTCCCGAGCACAAAATCATGCATTGTCACCATACGTCAGGGCTAGGAAACTACGGGCTTACTCCCAAGCCCAGTTCGCTTAGTGAAGGTACAAGGACGAGGCACTTGAGTGGCCCCTCTACGCAAACTGGGGCCTAAACAAGCTACAAATATTTTGCATAGAGTAGCAATATTATCAGGCATTAAATTTCATAGTTTGCGAACATACCGAAGCGATTTGGTGCAAGATTTACTGCACTTTTTTGTACCATTCCGTTTCTCGGTACTCTCTATTGCCTCATTTTATTAAGCCAGAGAGTAGTATGTAGCGAGAAACAAGGACAAGAAAAAAGTGCACCTTTATGACGAAATATGTTAAATTTACGCGACTGTCATTCACTGAACTCGCTTGAAATATTTTGTAACTGCCATCACTGTAGTAACGGGGAGAGAACGGTTGGCTTTGATGACAATCTTAAGTGAAGGAACAAAGTAAGAATTCGATAAAGAAAACTGCAAGTAAACGTACTTTGAGAGGCATTCTAATGCTTTGTTCGCTGTAGATGAGGTCCTGCTGCCAAGAGTGGACAAAGATTGCTATCCTGCAGGGCAAAGAGTGCCTTCCCTCTACGGGCTTTCGATGGGAAATAATTTAGAAGGCGGCTTATTAGGTTATTGTATTTTTAGGATGATTGGTTCGCTTTTTCGGTATTTAAAAGGTGACAAGAACTACTTCCTGAATTTGGTATCAACAGAGATGAGAGCATAGCAGGAAACAGGAGGAAGTGGAAGTTATGGAATAGTGCTTTGGGTGATTGGATTTTGGCGCATTGTTCAAGTCATCCAGAAAATGGTAAGTGTGAGTTATCGTTACATGAAGCTTTGATCCACCAGTCATGGTATCATTTCTACGCCAATGAGGCACTGTCAAAGGAAACTCTTTATCTGCATTCATAACAACTAATAAATCACTGTGGAAATAACCGCAAGAGGTAAAATGTCAACCTGACATTACTTTGCCGTGTACTTCATCATCAGTATTCATACAACAAGCAATCCGTGGGGGATTGGAGGCGACAAAATCCAGCCTGGTCTTCTCAGATCCAAATTTTTTATTATAGGTGGTAAGAAGTCGAATATTGACGCGTCGCCAGCTAGTTTAATTTTAAAGCACATTCTCATAATTCTCCTAGGACACCTACTGCCATAGTCAGACTACATCATTGCCTTTGCCTTGATGTACAGCGTAGTAAGTGCCTTATGTTCATAAATTCACAATCTGCCATTTGATGCACAAGACTGCTGTAAGGATAGCTCATAATTGCGTAGAGCAAAGCACCGTCCCCCTACTTTGCTCATGGGCAAATGATATGGCTAAGCCTTCCACAACTAATGTAAGCAATGCTAGGTTATTCACCTTTGCGACTACTATGAGGCACCATGTAATCGTGAAGGAAGACATTTGGCATTATATCACATCGCCGTCTCGCAGCTATTTTTCCACTAAGTGCTCATGAAGTTTGCGAGTTAACAGTGTTTGACAATGGCTTGGAGCAATACTAATTGCTCTCGCTTAACTCAATCGGTTATCCTAAAAGTGAGTGCTTCATCTGCGCAACACACGAAATTGTAATATCACATGCTGCACTCCTGACTTAACCATAAACTCGACTTCGGTGGCACGAGCTCGAAGACCTTACCGTCATAGGAACCAAGCCAAAGCATCTCCTTCCAGTAGTTGACCATTCATTGACATCTGTCCCACTGCGTATTTGCATTCGCATTAAGCATTAGCCTCCCACTGACTGGAAGATATTAAACAAACCTAACCAGATAGCTGATCAAAGCGAATCAAGTAATTGGGACCTGTTATTTACCAAGTTCATTTAGCTCAAATGCATGACACATTGCTAAATTAGATGCAAATTTTAATACGATTTAAAGCGCGAAAAAAATGAGCATAAATGGGGTAGTACTTTTGTAGTTGGCATTTATTGCGGCCTTTTAAGTCCTTCAGAGCGGCCGCTAAGCTATAAACGTCGACAGAAGACGGCGCGGCCAAGACAAAACGGAACGCAGAGACTGAAAGGTCAACGTACCGCAATGTACATTGAAACAAGAATGGGATCGCTGTTCAGAGTACCACTATGAAACTATTTACAATGCTTTGTTTATGTGTCCACCTGATGCCTGGTGGTTACTTTAAAATTCATATTGCCCTTGTACGCGTGGGCTGGCCTTCAGACCAACTTCAGACCTTATCTCTTTTCCTCCACTTAGTGTCCTCTACCCAGTGGGAAGTCTCGGAACGCTGGACTGATATTAATTCAAAGTACAAATAAAGAGCCTGAGCCAATAAGTTTTTAAGGCATTTTTGCCTATTGGGTACAAACTTGAGCCAGTTCCATGCCAACAATAAGTGTTCAAACTCCAAAGAAGTGCGAACATAATGTTCAGTAGGGTACATTTAATATGGAGCAGAATTAGTGTAGCTAAGTCTTGTTTGTACAAATGATGTGAAAAAAAAATTGCCTTAATACTTTACGTAAACCAAATTCTTCGATGGAGTACTTTGACCTTATTTGAGGTCACTTAGACGGCCATCTTGCTCCTCTGAGGTGGGCCGGCCCTCAGACCTCTCCAAGGCCCCATCAGTTTCTTTTTTCACTGAATGCAAGCATTCAGTCGAGTTCTATGCCTTCTATTATTGGGGACACCACACTCATTAAACAGAATGAAAAAGACAGAGGAGCTGTGCAAGGCATTACTTTGTCCCGATCCTAAAAGGAGATCGAGGAATGAGCATGTGAATCAGAAGTAGTAACCATCACCTTGAAATGGAGTAAGTGATGTCTGCAAAATAGCAGGATTTGCCACTTTTCGACTGACTTAGCAGTTTAAATGGAAATAAGAGACAATTATCAGACAAAAAAGTATAACCAAAACCCATTAAAGCGCCTTAGGGCATCTTAGTATAGTTGAAGGCTAAACTCAAGAAAATTTATCATCAACCGAAGCCTCTTTGTGGATGAGAACAGTAGTAGTACTTGAGTGGAGTACAT